CTAGGAAGCTGAAATTTAAAGATGTTTCCCGTCCACATACAACCTAAAAATTTCAAATTTAGCCTCGGGTATGTGTGGTCCTCATGTACGGGCACGTGAAAATTTTAGTAGGAAAATTGGTGTTGATCAGCTGGGTTAATTTCAAAAGACGGTCGTTTGACAAACCTATTCATTTTCTTTTATACAAAATTTACGCTGATTTACGTTAATGAATAACTAAATATAAATAAAAGTAACAAAACATTCATACAGTTAATGACCTAATTGTTTCAAATTCAATGCAAAAACGCATGGTCACACCAGAAAGCCTAATGCATTTCAACCTAGGATTTTTTTGTAGGAAATGCTTTTTCATAACTTCTTGATCAAAGATTCTCACTGTTCTCAGTATGCACAATGCTCAGAAGTTAATTCGTTTCAGGATAATGAAATTTACAATCTTAATATTTTACAAAGTATAGAAGGCGTGTATGAGACGCCTAAATTGAATAAATTTACCGCCTTCAGAACGAGCGAAAAGGAAATTATACAGAGCCGCCCTGAGGCCACCCAGGTGCAAATTACCAGTTGGCGAAGGAGCAAACCTTAAACGAACCTTCTCAATTTTACAAATTTTTACATTACTTCTGGATACCTAACTTATATGGTGGATCTACGGAATTCGAACATGCGAAGTAGTGTGTTGGTGATTTGTCTACAACATACATAGCGACGATTTAGGATGCACAATCGAGTAATAATGCAGTCGATGACTATTAACGAATCACAACGAAGATTCCTTAGCGAGCTGAGAAAGCAGTCCGAATTAATTAGGCAGCTCACTAAACTTGCAAGCGATTTTGAATGGGTTACTAAACAGCCAAGTGTGCTGAGAATGTCCCTTTACCCTCTTTGCTAAACTTGCAAGCGATTTTGAATGGGTTACTAAACAGCCAAGTGTGCTGCGAATGTCCCTTTACCCTCTTTGCTAAACTTGCAAGCGATTTTGAATGGGTTACTAAACAGCCAAGTGCGCTGAGAATGTCCCTTTACCCTCTTTGCTATACTGTCTTTTCATATGACAGAAGCAGTTATGCAAACTTTGCAAGCAAAGGATGCTTTGTGGGACCTCTATGATAATGCTGCGCCTCTAGGATTGTACAGAAGGATGCCCGAAGAGCTGGGAATTAATGAGTTGCGGTGACCAGGGAAGATCCAGTCGAAATGTGAATTCTCGAACGTTTCCCGATCAGCCTTCTATTTGGGCGTAATGCGCAGTGATAACACACTGTGCTTACAGTTAGAACAGTTTTATTTTCCCAATTTGGAATAGGGTCCTAGATCCTCGGGGGGATATCTGTGAAATACTTTTTTTTTATGTTCTGGTGTTGGAAGCATTCACTTCAACTGTTTCTTAGAGAGATCTTGACAGAGTCTTCCAACTTTATATTTTATACTTTTAATGTCTGGCGTCATTTTAAACT